ATATTCAACTAGCCTACCATATGACTTTAAAAAAAGGGTTACCAAAACATACAGAATTCATAGATGAGTCTCAAACTCACATAATGTTATATTAACTTAATTTGATATTATCTGTTCTCATATTTTAGAGTGTGCACAATCTATCACTCATAGTCTTGGCAATTTTTTACCACAGCCACTGTTGCATTTGTCTCAGCCACTTGGTTTACAGTCTTTCATTCTGGCACCATAGTTTTATAATTTTTAAGAGTTCCGGGAAGTTATATACGTTATTCGGGGGTTTAATTATTTATCGTATCGTGAGATTCTGGTAGACTTTTGTGGCTGTTAAAGCTATATGGGTGGGAGGTAGAAAGCGGGTTCTTTGGTGCAAAGTAGCCATTGGATCGAACGATTTGAGCTAGTCCTATACCGGACTTCGTCGTGGATGAGCTCGTGGGTCCCCGGTGCAACCCTCGGCTAACTGCATAATATCAAAAACAATTGGTACAGCTCACTAGTATATCGGGTAATCTAACGCGGTACGTAGATGTGGAGTTTCCCAGGTCACGCTTCCACTAGTGGTATTCAAAGTTAGAAAAGGTTGTGGGTAGGAAGAGGTTTTTACTATAACATGCATTAGGTTACTAAAGCAAGTGGGCCAATTGTATTTCAGACCTTCAAGTATTATATTTGAGAATCCTTATGTATACCAGAAACAAGTATTGGTAAGCTACTAGTATAGTGTATAATGTGAAAAATTGTTCATCCGCGTAGGATCACAACCAATCTGAACAACAAAGTCGTAGTACAACATTGAGCGATAGTCAAAATGCGATGCAATTTTTCTGAAAATACTGCTTGGACCAAGGCTGAGACAGAAAAGCTAATCCAATGGCTCGAAGATCTAAACAACTTACAAAAGTTGAAAAAAGGTTCCAGGATCACCAAGAAAGCGATAATAGCTCAAATTGCAACAGTTATTCCTACGAAAGAAGTTGTTAAAGTTGGCTACAAGTACGACAATCTGATGAAATCCTATCGAGCAGCAGCAAGATTGAATGATCAGACTGGATGGGGTTTATCGGAGCAGGATTTAGATGAAGGACGGAGAAGTTTACGGGGTATAAAAACTTTTTATTTTATTTTTAATCTATTAATTATTTTTCTCTATTTAATAAGGAATTAAAAAAATATGACTATACTAAATAAGAAATTCTATAATACAGATAAACTTCTATCAAGATGTCTCCATTTCTTTCGATTAGAACGGATATTAGGTGATCGACCAAACGTGCACCCTCCTATCCTCTTCGACTCCGGCTCAAGTATCCAAGATACTACATCTATGGTAGAGCAACTTTTAAGTTCTCTTGAGGGACATCATGAGCATATAGGAGATGAGAGGAATCATGAGCAAGGGGAGAGAGGAGGATTCCATGAGCATAGGGAGGAGGAAGGGGGGCAACTTGAACTACGGCCAGCAGATGTAGGTAAAGGAGCAGGATATTCAGGTTGGTCCAGAGAGGGGGGCTTGGGAAGCGAAGGAGATATAGGAGAAGGGCAAGAGTTAGGTCAGGAGGAAGTGATTATGGAATTGGAGGAGGTGGAAGGTAGCTGTGTGGAAGAAAGAGGTGAAGGTAGTAGGAATATTGCTAGGAGAAGAAGGAGGAGAAGTGAGAGTAGTGGAGGAGTAGCTAGAGGAGAGATAAGAATTAGGAGCAGAGAAGTAAGTAATCTTGTTGTATGGGAGAAAGCATTACAAAACAAGTATTCTAAAATTAAATAGGTAGAGCAGCCTCAACCAAGCCCATTAAGCCAGCAAAATATTCAACGCTCTTCCACTATTCAAGGTCAGAAGCGCCGATCCTTCCCCGAGCTAGTACATGAAGAAGAAGAAGATAGAATAGGAGGAGCTTCTAGAGTACAAAAGAGAAGAAAAGGGACCTCCAATGCTTTGGTTGAGGCGGTAGGAATACTAGCATCAACAAAAGCTGAAGGAGATGAGCGAAAGTTTGAATTTCTGGACAAGCATCTTGAATAGCAAAGTGAATTGCGCCGACAAGAGATTGGACTTGAAAGAGAGAAATTAGAATTGGAAAGGGAAAGGGCACGAGCTGAGCAGCGTCGGACAGATCTTTTAATTCTACAATTAAGAGCATCTATGGAAGGCAGATATAAAGGGAAACAATGAAGTCAATCAAATGAAAGGGATATAGGATCAGGCTTGGATGATTTGGATTTGTAAAAGGTACTTTATTAAGTTGAATTCTATAATTTCTGTTTGAATATATATGTTTTTTGTTTTTAATTCTCGTTGTTGTTAAAGAAAAAGAAAGTGATAAACCTAAATTATAAATGTTAAATGAAATATTCACGCATTCTGTTTCTCCACTCAGCTCCAGCTTGTCGTTCAGCTTCTACTCTCAGCTGCTCATCCTCCAAAATATCATCATGAGCTAATCTCTCATTTATATCCAATAACTCAACCGGCAGCCGCCATTCTTCATCACTTTCAATACTACAAAGAAAATTATGTACAATAATACAAGCTATTATCCAAGCTACTACTCGAACATGATCTTGTGCATTAGATATCCGCATTGATAATCCCCTTAAAGAGCTCCACTGATTTTTAAGCACTCCGAAGGCAGGCTCAATCCTGACTCTAGCTTCAGCAAGACGAATATTAAAAGTTTTAAAACCTCCAATCTCCCGACTTGCTAATGGCTCCTTGTATGGGGTCATACAATGACGTGTGATACGGTATGCCTTATCGGCTAGGATGTATTCATCTGGATGGGAGAAGAATTGATTTGGTTGTTGGAAAAACGAGGAATGGCCAAATACTGTCGCATCTCCAACAGATGCAGGAAATCCGGCCGTTATGAATCTGAATCTTCTTTGATTATCGCATATACCTTGTAGATTTAAGCCATACTGTTTTTTTCAATTGAAGTACGTTTCACCATGGTATGTCGGTCTATATCGTAATACGATATCAGTTCCATCCAGGAATCCTATACAACCTGGAAACCCACTTTCATTTTCAATCTCGCTTCTCATGGTATGAAATTCATCACTTCCAGGTAGCAGCCATCGAATGAACCGTGGTAGTTGTCGAACTAGTGCAGAAATCGTTCAATTACAATACAATCTTGTTGTACCTTCGCCAATTCCCAGTTGAGCAGCACCACGGACAGTAGATATCCCATTTGCTCCGAAAAAGTACAAAGTTGTAGCTAGCTGTATCGCTGGAGATGCTTGACTATTACATGAACGGTTTTGAAAAGCACGGTCATCGTAGATATAGCCAAGAAGGGTATTAAACGAGGTATGTTCCATTCGGAAAAATGCTCGAAATCGATCTTCTGACATTGCAAAAATCTATTATCTATTAATACTAATTTTTTTTCTAATTCAGTATAGATTCAAGCTAATAATATTTAATAACCTACATGATGTTGAAAGATATAGTCAGATTGAGGAATAGGCTCTCTCGGCATCAAATAGCGGATTGCTGGTATGCTCAATCCAAGAAACTCAATAATTTCCTCTATCTCTTTTCCTAACCCACTTTCTTCACTCTCCAGACATGCTTCTGGTCCTTCTCCTATCAGGATTTATGAGATTTCTGGCTCATCAAGCATGATCAAAAATTGTCGAATATCAATTGCTGTCTGCGCTGATGGTAGTTGTAGGAATTCTCGCGAACTTTGAGAATGGGGGCCAAGGTATTTCAACAGTAGTAATATTTCATTACTATTGTCAAATACATTGTCCATAATGGTATTTGATAACCATAAATCTTTAAGATGACAGGCTATTTTAAATTTTTCTGATATGCGAGGCATTGTAAAAGATCTTGAGGGTTTGTTGTAAAGTACCGGTAATATGTTTTTTTCTCGCTTATTTTTATTTCTACATCATCAGCTTGGCAATACTAATTACATACTTTTACCAGTCACCGACCTCCAGACCTCCGTACTTACTTGCAAAACTTGTTCAGTCAAGGTAGACTAAAGTGAGGGTAAACTAACTCCTTCTGGTCTTGCCAAGCTTACATGAAACATGAAAGTAAACTAGTAACAGGATGCACTTTTAACTTTGAATACCACTACTATGAGAGATGAGAGGAACACCTGAGTAGTCTATAACTCGGTAAGGGCGTGGAGAAGATTTATAGTATATTGTAAAAGTTTTGTCCAGAGTACACAAAGATGAGAGTGAAGAACAAAAATTGGTCATAAAAGTGGGATATACTACGGAACCCAGCACTCCGGACAGAAGGTACAGAATTACAAGGTTAAAGACACTCTCTAACTTTTTCTAAAAAGAAAACATTACAGAAGTTTTCTCAGTATCCCAAGAACAACAAATATGAGTATTCTCAACATCATGATCCCTCAAAAGTCCATGAAATACGAAATAAGAAAACATGTAAAATGGCTTATGATTCAGCATGTTTTAGTAGGACAATCAACACAGGAGGTTGCAAAGTGGTTTTTTTGCTCAGAAAGAACAGTTAGGCGAGCAGTGGCACTTTTTAAGATGAAGCACTGTATTGTAGATGAAGAGAAGGGAACAAGAACAGGGAGGCCTAGGAAGTATAACCGTGCAGCATTAAATGTAATTAAATAGATACTACTATTATTATTGAAATTAAGTTATACTAATAACAAAAATAAAAGTATTTACAACAAATTCTTTGAAGCCGTCCTGATACTTTTTTCGATGAGCGACGTGATAAGCTCTATATGAATTTCGAAGGTTACGGTGAACGAGATCTACTGGCTAATATTTCTACGATTTACAGAATGATATGGTGAGAAGGATTTACATGGAAAAAGCTTACACGAATAGCACTAGAGTAAAAGGAACAGCAACAGGCGGAGTACCAACTTCGTATGTCAAAGTACCAGGCTGAGCAGCTGGTATTTGTCGATGAGACCTCAAAGGATGATTGAACTACATATAGGTGGTATGGTTATGGACAGTATGGAGGACGGGGTTCAAGATGAACTCAATTTGTACGGAATATTCGATATTCTATACTACCAGTACTTGGAATAGATGGTTCTTTACATGTGAGGTTATTGAAGGTATGTATATACTGAAATTTTTTTTATTTTTATTTTTAAATATTGTTTATAGTAACCTATATTTGAATAAATATACAGGTTCCTTTACATGTCAATCATATGAGAAATTTATCTTACAAGAGGTTCTACCACATATGAACTGTATTCCAAATGCCGACTCCGTTCTGGTGATGGACAACACACGGATTCATAAAAGTCAACTGGTTGTCAAGCTTGCTACAGCAGCTGGTATTGCAGTAGAGTTTCTACCACCATATTCTCCTGATACAAATCCTATTGAGGAAGCATTTTCTGTATATAAGGCATGGTTAAGAAGATACGGAGATCAGATATTAAGCTACTAGTATAGTGGTGATCCACGGGTGATTCTCATGTATGGAGTATTTAATTGTTTGGATGGACATCATACAGGAAGGTTTTTCAAAAATTCAGGTTACATAGATGATGATTTTGATTTGATTCATGTATAGTAAACTTGAGACAGTTTCTACTATCAAATCAAGAAACTGAAAATAATCAATAAACACTGTTCAAATACATAACTGAATTTGAAATAAATCAAAAAGTGTAAAATAAACAAAATAAAAATATATAATTAAAAAAGAAATAACTTAAATCAAGATAAACACAATAAAAATAAAATAAAAGAAACAAAGTAAAAATAATAACAAAACTATACTATTAACCTGAAGTCTGTCATATAAGATCAACAATTCCTAATTTATCATCACATAATAATAATAACTGCTTGTCATTAAGCCTTAGTATCTGATTAGGAGAAATATACTGTTTCCCCCAACGTGAAGTAAGAAAGGTAAAGTCTCTACCATGAAGATTATTATTTGAAAGGAAAGAAAGATAAAAGGTGGCAGACATGGTAAAAAGTTTTTCCCATTGCTGAATTATGCGTGGAGATAGGGGAGGTGATGGGCTTGGCGAAGAGCAAGTATGAATGGATGAGGAGGGTACTGGGTGGGATTTTGCTTCAACTTGAACTTGGTATGTATGGTTAGATAACTAGTTAGCTAATAGGTTGTTTGAAGTTAAGCAAAAGAAAGATGGCACTGTACCGGAAGGGGATATTTGAGGAGCAATAGGTTGACCAATGTTGTAGATAATGGTTGGTATGGAAGAAGAAGTATGATCACTATATAGACCTGTATTGTTCGAATGGTGGGTGGTAGACTGCTTTTGAATCTGGCTTGAGGTGGTAGAAAAGGGTCCCCGCCGGCGGCCAGAAACATTGTTAAACAGCTTATGTGGTGGTGGTGAAGAGTATGTAACTCCAGTAATACCATTTGGATTATCATGAAGTGCTGCAGCCCAGTAAGATAGTAGCCCAGGGGTTAACTGATAATATCCACCATTGGGTCGAATATAGCATCCTTGCAGTGTTCAATGAACTTCACAATAATGTTCACAGATCAGTCGAACAATAATTGACACCTTTGCAACTTCCACTGGATCTGCCTGACTCTCCTTCTCTTTCTTACTCCTTCTACCCTCCTTAGATTCCTTATCATTATTTTCTAACTGTGTTTCATTTATATTGTAAGTACAAATTTAACCGAATTGAAATAAGAACAAACTCACAGCTCACTTTTTAACTATGTTTTCAGTTTCCAAACTAACTAGATTTTTGATTTTAGGTCGAAACCTAATCATCAAGGGTTTGGCACCTCTTCTTCGGCAGACTTCATGCTCTTGGATTTCAGACTCTAATACTTGTAATGCTCGCCAGGTAGTCAATTCCATTCTCCTTTTGCTGTCTCATTACTTAACTTATATTCTAACTGAAAGTTTTTATCAAAAGGGATCTCTTCTCCACAATCTGATTCTTGGATATCAGTAACAATTCCATGAATTTGTAAACGGAGATCCCAGAGGTCTAGGAGAGATATTTCAATATCTGTCTTTTCACATTAGTTCTGATATATCACTTGACACCGAACTAATAGAGGCTGTTTGATTGGCTTCTCCTTCTGCACTGGTGGCTCTGAACTAAGTAGTTGTGGGGTCGGGTGCCTAGTTTGTGTACTGGGTTGAAGGGCGAACCGGGTTGTATCTGGACTGGATATAGGACTTGTAGTAAGGACTATGCGAGACTCCTGGGAATTCTCCTGAAACGGAACTCTTGAATACTCTGACTAATTAGAATCTCAAATCATAGGTTTGTTAAAGGCTGAAACATACGGAATTGAAGTTAAGTATGTCTCAGCTATGGAAGCTGATGGTGAAGGTATGTACTCTGAACCAGTAGTTCTTTTTGAAAACCGAGATTCCAAGCTTGATTGAGGACTTAAAAAGGGATTTGGATTCTCTAACCACTTCGAAAATGATCTCAGATCAGCATTCAGTGGATCAAAAGTATTGGTTACTTCTTCCTCATCTCTTTTATCTTCTCCATTGTTAATATCCTCCTCTGCATACCATTCACTGGTCTCAGAGTCCGCTGACATGTTCATCATTGTAAAGCTCAAAACCCAAAGATACCGGAAAATACAAGTTCAAAGGTCATTTCTTACAAAAATTGTGTGTACAGTACCTGTCATCTCGCCGCTATTTTAGCAATATGTCTTTACTTACTACAATAGGTATGGCATTCAATAGTCTGCCCCGCTTGTTTCAACAAAAAAAAAATCTTTCCGCAACCCCTTGGACAAAACATTTGCAAACTGCTGTAATTCATAGAGCTTGGTAAACTCGTGGTAAGGGATTGTAAAGAATAGAAACCTCCCGGCTGGATGCGGAGGAACCGTATAGTATAAATGCCGTGAGGGGCACCGTTGGTTCATGTGAACTTCCCCCATCCCAGTGGTTATGAACACTCACTTCAGGTTGACATGAACAGACCGTGAAAGACCACATTACCCGGCAGCTGATTTTATATCATAGGGTGAGATAGCGCTTTGCAGTAGCGTGGCTCACAACTGTAATTTGCAGTGCCATATCAATTGTTCAAGACGTGGTGGCTTATGCATTATTCGAACCTTAGTATTCTGGACACGGAAAGGCTCTCTCTAGTAAACCATGCTGGGGAGTTTATGAGTACGTGACACCTGGGCCGAGCATTGTACTAGTACAGAATAGGCTGAAAAGAGGGGTAAGAGGAGACTAGGGTAGGATGGAGAGAGTCCGTTCTCGCATTTGGCAGGATAGCTGGGTATCGCGCACCGATGTGGACAAGCACGGCCTTGACCAAATTATATTCATAGCGGAGCCCGATCACCACAATACCTTAGCGAGTGGCCTGTCTTTGCATGTCTTTTCAAGATTGCCGCGGGTAGTTGGGCGCCATTTGTTTTCTTTCTCTATCCGTATCTAAATAACCTGTATATACTAACCTAAAGGGTGGAGAAGGAAAAGGGATTAGAGAAATAACAAATGAATAATAAACGTGCAAAAGGATTTACAACCAGAAAATAACCATGAATGGAGATGTAACAGAAATTTCGGGACATAGTGGGTTATTGCAGTGCCGGTAGAATATAAATAGACCCCGCTCCAACGTCGGCAACTAGAAAATAAACAGAAACCGACAAACCCTGACACAAGAAAACGTGAGATCTGGAGAGGGATTCGGAGGGTGTGTGGCAGATATCTGCACTACACCCCCATCACACGATTTCCTTCGAGCGAAAAGGAAATGGTTATTCTAAGTTTCTAACCCGGGATATCCCGTGAAAGAAGGAAAGGAACTACAAGGTGTATTTTTAAATTTCGAGAGGAGGCTGGGCAGAGATAGGTGTGTGTATGGAGATATTGCCGTTCCTGTAAAGATAGCACATAGGTTATCCATATTCGAAGGCGGCAGGGTGGGAGATGCCTCCCCGGGCTTAGCCTACAATGGGATTGAGTGATTCTGGGAGCTGAAACAGCGCTACCACTCCCCCGTACGCCTACTCGGCGGCACACCAGAGTGGTGTTCGGCCGTCATAATCTGCTTTGCCTGTTGGCCTCATCGCCCGAGTAGTATTTTCACTATCTCTCTATACTCCCCCGAAACAACCTAACCGAGCGGTGTTCAGCTGTCAATAGAGGGTTTGCGCACAAGGACCTAGGTAGCAGTTAGCAGCAACAAGACCCAGGTGCTAGAATTAGTTTGCGCAATGAATTTAGGTGGCTTGGTTGCCGGGTTACTCTAGTTTGTTGGAGATGATATCAGGATTGCAAATGACAGAGAGAGTATGATATTAGCACAGAAAATCTCTGCAATAAAACACCATCAACGATTTCCTACAATGACAATGCTTGCTCAACAATTCCTAGTCAACAGAAGCAGGCAGAGATTGGCAGCCCTCCACCAGCTTCGGTCAGTGGTTTTGACTGATAATAGTTGGAAGCGAGGTGTGTTGCGGGAGGGGGGTCGCTTGGATCTGAATACCTTAGGAGAAGAAGAGTGGAGAAATCAATTTAGGTATATAATAGTTCTATTATTCTTTATCTTAACTAAATGAGGATGGTGTAAAGGAATGAAAAATAACTAACATTGAAAAGATTTACTCGAAATGAGGTAGAAGAGCTAGTCGATGTACTGCAACTTCACACAATGATCCAAGCAGATAATAGAATCACCGAAGATCGCCGAACTGCTCTCTGCAGGCTTCTAGCATGATTAGCATATCCAAATTATTTGTCTTATTTGGCCATGAAGTTTGGTTGGCCAGTGGAGCAGGTGTCTCGTATAAGCACAGCTACACAAGCGTTTATACATGAGAAATGGTACCACTTACTTGTGTGGGATGCCCAACGCTTAACTCCTAGCCGCCTTGCCCTGTATGCTAGAGCAATTGAGCAAAAGGGAGCTTCAATTAGAAGTGTATGGAGATTTATCGATGGCACTATTTGAGGTATCGCAAGACCAATTGAGCATCAATGGACATGCTATAATGGATGGAAGTGGAAACATTGCTTGAAGTATCATGCAATAGTAACTCCTGATGGGCTAATTAGCAATCTGTTTAAACCTGTCGATGGCTGGCGGAACGACACCTTTCTTTGGAAGAAGTCAAATCTTCCAAATATTCTCGAACAACATGCACATGCTCCTGATGGCACCCAACTCCAGGTATATGGGGATCCAGCCTACAGTATTAGCTGCTGCATTCTTTCACCATATCAAGGAGCACGGATCACTGACCCCCAAAAGAGGTGGAATAAGGCAATGTCACACCTTCGTATCGTTGCTGAATGGGCCTTGAAGGAAATGGTTAGCACATTTGGATTTTTAGATTATGTAAAAAATCAGAAACATTTACTTCAACCTGTTGGAATACAATTTCGAGTTGCTGTGTTTCTTCATAATGCACATGTTTGT